AAGTTATAGATAAATCTCTAATAGTATATAGCTAATCTAATAAATTATCGAATATTATAGACTATCTTAGGCCTTAGCTAGGTATTTATAGCCTCGATTTTAGTAAAAAGGGGCTAAATACTCCTATTCTTAATAATATAGCTATAGAATTTAAGCTCTTCTATAGCGAATATATATTTTATAAGTAAAGTATAAAGCTTCTATTTTATTAAGAGGGATAATACTTATTTAAGGTATTTCCTATAATCTTTAATTAAGTCTAAAAAGATTAATATATTATCTAGGTAGACTACTATATTATAACCTAGTAATAGTTATAATATACTATTTATAATCGACTAGAAGGTTATAGGTATATTATAGAGGTTAAATAGTATTATTAACTATTTATATTTACTTTAGATTATATTAAATATAGTCTTTTTAATTAAGCCCTTCTCTATTTAGATTTACTAAAACTTAGTTATAAGGTCGATTTTAGAAAGGATTTAAATATTATTATTAATATCTAAAAGCTCTTAAATATATAGTAATAGATACCTATTCTTTTCGCTTATCTAATTAAGGGCTTAATAGTTAATATATATATATTATTTCCTATATAGTTTATATATAAATACTACTAAGAATCCTTAAGTATTATTAGAATAATAGATTAGTCTCTTTTAGATTAATTCTTCTACCTATTTAGCTTACTTATTAAGCTTCTTAATTAATAGGGTATATATATTAATATTAATAGGTTTATTAGTACTAGTATTAATATTATATACTATATTATATTTTAGTAGGAGCTCTATAAGGAGCTCTACCTAGAATAGATCTTTATATTTCTCTATAATCTTCTTAATTTAGGTATTAATAAATTCTGATATCCCTAGTATATCTTTTCCGATTATACTTATTATTAGGTAGATTATAAAGAGGAATACCTTTTAATTTACTTTCTTTATAAGCCTCTATATATATTTTATAGAGATTAGGTTAGTATATATATCTCCCTTTATAATTAACTAGAAGTTATTTATAGGGTATATAGTATAAGAGTAGTAGTAGTAGTCTATAAGAGTTATTATTAAAGTATACTAGTTAATCTTAGGATTTTCTTTATATAAGAAATTATAGCTAAGGATTATATTATACTCTATAAGGAGGACCTAGGCCTTAATTCGCTTAATTTATTCTCTAATTTTAACTAGGAGGTATATAAAACCTATTATTTCTATCTTTTTATTATTAGCGATAGTAATTAAGAGAGGTATTTTTAGTTTATAAATTTATACCTTTCTGTTTAGCTTCTTTATAATATAGGGGGAGATAAAGGTATTACTTACTCGATTATTAAGTAAGATATAGATCCTTATAGGGTTAATCTTATTAGAATAGATCTTTTCTTAATAGAATATTATATTATTACCTATAATATTTAATAAAGCGGATATTTATAGGGGCTAATTACTAGGATATTTTTGATTTAAATAAGCTATTTTCTACTTATCTAGATTTTTAAAATTTTCTTTATATCTCTATAGCTATAAAGGGGACTCTAGCTAAGTATATATAGGTTCGTTCGTTAGGTAATATAGGTTAAGGAGATCCTTTATATTAATAAGTAGTTACTTAAGAGCTTATTAAAGGTAGCTAATAAGGGCTTCTATATTATATAGCTATACTAGTTTTTTAATAATACCTTAAACTATTTAAATATAGCTTTTTATTTTTATTTAGTCTCTTTAGTCTTAGGTTTCTAGTATATATAGGCTAGGTATCCTTTCTTATTATAGTTATAGTATTCCTAAGTCTCTTAAGATCCTTAGGTAGGCTATATAGATTTAGTCTTATAGTATAGAGGTTTATTACTTTTATATTATATAAGGCTATATTTTTATATTTATATACTACTATATAGCCTTCTTTATATTATATAAAGTATAGGATAATATCTTTAAAGGTTATAGGCTTATATAGCTCCTTAGCTTATTTAGCTTAGTAGGCTAGTTTAGTACTAGTAATAAAGTATTAGATAAGTATAGTATCTAGAATAATTTAATTAAGATCTATAATAATCTATATAAGATTTCTAGAGTATTCTTAGATTAAAGTCTTCCTTTACTTTAGGTTTTTATACTACTTATAGAGCTTTTTAGTTATAAGGTATTCTATAAACTACTACTTAATTTATTCCTTAAATTCCTTCTATAATATAAAGGAGGTAAGTCTTTCTTACTCGCGTTTCCTTCTATATATATCTAGTTATTCGCTAGCGCTTTTAATAAGCTTCCTCTTAGCTTAGAGGATCTTTACTTTATTAAAGGCTTTTATCCTTATTAGTTTTACTAGGCCTATAAAGTAATAGTTATAGTCCTATATCTATTTATAGGCTATATTATTAAGGATTATCCCTTTATAGTTAGCTATTAGGTATAAATTATTTAGAAACTTCTTATATATCTCCTTATCTAACTAGTTAAGATAGCTTACTCTTATTATTATTATTATTAGAGGCGCTTACTAAGCTAGTTAGCTATTTCCTATAGCGGCTAAAATATTAGTAAGGCCTTTATTAATTCGTACGAGTACTTCTTAAGTTATATAGAGGGCTTATACCTAGCTTATTACTAGGTAGATAAGGGTATAGACTTACTAGTAGTCTATTATATTATATATTTATAAGTATATATTCTACTTATTAGCTTCTAGAAGACTAAGAGCTTCGATTACCTTATTTAAGAGGGTAGCTTAGACTTAGTCTTCTATAGAGGCTTATTATAGCTATTTAAATATTCTTTTAAGGTATTCTTTATCTAAAAGGATACGATTAGGTTCTATTAAGTATATTCCTTTTATTAGTTTAGGAAGCTACTTTTATAGTAGTACCTAGATATAGATCTAGCTATATCTTACTTAATATTAATATAAGATAGGTTAAATCTAATCTATATAGATTAATTTACCCTACCTTTTAAAAGATTTTTATTTCTTTTTTTCTTATATTTAAGGCCTTTTCCTTTTCCTATATCTTACTAAAAGTACTTATTAACTCCTTTTTTCTTCTATTTCTTCCCTAGTATCTATAAGATAGAAGTTAGATTCTAGGGGGCCGGTTTCTTAGGGTTTTTAGTATACCTTATCTTTCTAAGAAGAAATAGGGAAAGATAGTTACTATCTTATAGACTTCTAATCCGTTTATAGTAATTTAGGTCCGCTAGATCGAGGTTAGGATAGGACGAGAGGGTTTTTATATTACTATTATCCCTTTTCGGGTCTTTTATAACACTATTCTCGTGCCTCCCTAGGCTAATCGTAGAAGATAGTCTATACTAATATGCTACTAGATATGATTCAGAGAAAGATCGTATGGTTTGTGTAGACTAGGTATGCTAATAGCTAAATACTACAGAATACGGGGGCTAAAGTGCCCTATGTGTGCAAGTACGGACCTACTTGGGTCCGTACGGGTCCACGTAGGCGCCATTAGTGCAGATTATGTCACAGAAAGACTTCTGGGATCACAATATCTTAGTATTACTTTAGTTATATTCTTTAGTTTAAAGGAGAGAAAGGAATCGCTTATATTTATAGTTACTAAGCGCTTACTAATATATATATCTAGCTTATAATATCGGTTAGATTCTTACTTAAGGGGTTACTAACTTCTTATAAAATTAAAGCGACTAATATAGTAGGACTCGATAATAATATAATTAAACAAAGAGTTATAGGCTAACTAGGCTTATAACTATTAAATAAAGGTAGACGAAAGATAACTTAATACTAGTACGTACTATATATAGTACTAGAGTAAAAAGTAAAATAAGTGTGTGTTTTAAAGAGTGTGAAGCGCTCGCTATTTAACCCCTGGGTTGCTGACAAATCGAGTCCGGCAAGTGGGTGGTCTAAATAACACAGGTGGTTCCTGTATGCAAGAAGTGAATTATAAAAGAATGTATGTAATGAGGGTAATTCCGGCCGATAACTTAAAATTCAAAAATTTGAATATATATATATTCAGCAAAGTAGTACAATATCAAAACTAAAATATATATAAGCAAAAAAGTATTTTATACTACTAAAAAAGTCCCTTCAAAAATGCCAAGACCTGACTTTTATGAATTTTATGAATCTTTATGCAAAAATGGGTTCAAATGATTGGGTTTAACCCATTGGGTTTTGGGTCGGAGGGTTCTGCCGAAGTCTAGTTATACTAGTACGGATATCTAAGGATATCCGCAGTCTACCTATATTACCTATCCTACTACTCGCTAGATAGATTTATTAGTATTTAGGGGTTAAATAACGAGTGTTTCACACTCTTTGTAATATACACTTATTTTACTATGTGATCTATACCGTGCATAGTAAGCCCTTAGTATCAAGTCATCTTCAGCACGTTCTCATTCTGCACTAAGTATCTACCCACTGCCTATTTTCCCACTAAAACTGACTAACTTTGAACCCTATTCTCTCAATAAATTTATACTGTAATAATCTTTCTAATAATTTCCAACAAAGGATCATTATTAAATTAGTAAAATATCTCTTTCCGAATAGTCCGATATATATGGCTGTTGAGTGACAAGTAGTTGAAATTTAGAGGTTAAGATGAATTGTCATTATATATAGCGGGGGCTAGTGGCTCCTATACTAAACTGGCGATCAGAACCTCTACCATAACTTTAAAAATTGGCCACACTATGAAAAATATTTACGGATATAATCCTATAATATATTACATTGGGCTTCCAATTATGAATAAGATCAATAAACAAATAAAAATAGGTTACAGTATAAATTCATCGATAGAATAGGCTCCAAGCTTGGTCACTTTTGGTGGGAAAATGGGCAGTGGGTAGATACTTAGTAGCAGGGTCTGTATATTGCAGAGCGAAGCGAAGCAATAATGATGTTAAATATGATAGATAGATAACAATATTTGCTATATAAGTTACACGTATTCGAATAATATTGTTGAGGTTCAAATAGTATATCTCTTATGTAGACTAATCATCCGGGTATTCATCCTTCATGTTACTAACAAACATCCGCTTCCCCTCATCCCACCGCTTGAAATGCTTACCCGCAATGGCAGTCAAGCTACTCGGCAATTCCGTGAAGCGAGGCAGAATTATTCCAATATTTTCCTCGGCCACATACCGGACACTTCGATCCGCCACACTATGCATCGTTAGCCATTAACTGTGAAGAGGACATGAGAACCACGCACAGCACATGATAGAAGCTTTGGTGCCTGCCAGCATCTAATCGATCAATGCCCATTCTCCTCATCCATTGTTCGCCCGCGCCACACTCCGAGTCCCAACCAGTAATGATGGCCTCGTAATGATAGCGACGATGGCGGAAGACCTGGCCCACCTTGTATCGTATATTCGCATTTCCACCGGTTCGCCTGCGAACCTGCTTTGGGATCTCATCCACAGCCCTCATCACATGAAGGCTCTCCAGTATGTGTTCATGCTCGAACAGCCCATGAAACAGAGGAGCGATGTACTGCTCAACTAGAAATATATCAGAAGGAAAGTCTGTAGCGAACAGTTCCATGAGCCATGGCAACTGATGACGTAGATCCATTGGCCTCGAATCGCCGGACAGTAGCATCACAGACCAGAGTGCTGCGTACTTTGCGCTCACAACATCTATCGAGGTGGCACGCAAGGTCGGATTTTGTGGTTCGACACGAATCGAGTTTAATATGTTCTTACCACAGCGCAAGATAACGCCCGAAGTCGATGCCTCACCCAAAGTTGCGGTCTGGTCCACATCGGACATGCCCAGAAATGTTAATTGGCTGCGCAGGGTTGAGACAGGAGTCTCTCTTGCACCCCGAAATGGGTCCAAATAAAGGGGCTCGCCTGGCTCTATCCCACCCAAAGCATTTCCATTCATGTCGGAGCCCAGCGGGGGGGTGATGATCACATGCACGTGAAATGGGAATCCACAGGGACGGGCGTTCAGGCCCACCCCCTGGGCAACAAAGCAATATATCGCCGCTGATACCAACGGTAGGGAGTTATGCTCCGAGCCCTTTAGAGCTAACCCTAAAAAGTTGTGCTCCAAAGAATGGTATTCCCGCTCTGGATTGATCCCCGTGAGACCGTTCAACCCTAACCAGGATGCTACAGCTAGTGCCTTCTCACGAGGTGTGAAGATGGAAAGATCCGGGTGAGAGACAAGAAAGCGGTCGAGGACCTTGCCCAGAGACTCTCGTATCTAGACCAAAGTCAGACATGGATTTTGTCGAGGGGTTACACTAGAATAACACCTACTTCATTCAAGTCACCAGTTCCACTCTCGGGTATAAAGAGATCAAAGCAGGCCAAGGCTCGGTCGAGCGATACGGGTTCTCCGCGTTTGAGTTTCGCCCATTCAGGTATGGCAATGCTTCGGTGCAGGCAAGTCAAGAGCGCGTGGGCATAGTACCTTTTGTAGTTGGCACAAGGCACTCTGGTCAATTCGAAGGGAACACATGCCAACTTGCATAGAAGTAGTAGCCCACCTTCTGGCCAAATAATCCTCCCCAGACTCTATCAGGCTATATCGTAGAAGAGTATCCTTTGCATCATATCCCATATTGATGACAAGGCGAAACTTCTCGATCCGGCCGATCTGGCTACCAAGAATACTACCAAGAAGCTGAGTGACAGATCGATCAACCTGATACTTGAAGACAAAGAGCGCTTTCCAATCGGTTGAATTGACTGGACATGCAAGCTTCCGGGGTAAATCATGTCGCCCATCCCAGAACTTGTAATGCGACTGGCAATGGTTGCGCCATAGTAAGCGTTCATTTGTGACGTTTCGAAATCGACTGTTGGTCTGTTCCACGGCAGCGCAGGATTGAGGAGTAGAATAACATAGAATAGAATGCAGGATCTCGTCTGGAAGATGAATTAAAGACCGAACCATGCCTGAAGGTTGGAATATTGACGGGAGGGAAAGAGACAATTAGAACGGAAGAACAGTTTTACATTCCTCAAATAAGAAAATCAGATTTTTCTTAAAAAAAAGGCAAAGATCAAAAGATGTTGAAGAGTGAAAACTGGAAAACTGGAAAATAGCTCCGAGGCAAGATGTTCCTCCCCGCCTTTCTTATCTATCGAATGTGCCAAGCCTTGAACTTCATTGGCAATGTTTTTTTTTTCTCTCTTCTCTTCTATTTGTAGACACTTATAGACACCCCCGTTCTATCGTCCCAATTTACCTGAGATATTTGAAAATGAATCATTAAAAGGTTGCTTCAAAATAAATTATTGCGGTATTCGCCATTCTCCACCATTACTCTCTCTCTCTCTCTCTCTCTCTCTCTTAACACGCCATGGGCCAATTTCATTCCAGCCAGGCAAGCTCCGGTTCTTCAGAACAATCAAACCAGAAGACCGATTATTATGAGCTGCTTGGTGTAACACGTGGTGCAACAGATGAGGAGTAAGTTTATATGAAAATGTTGGTTGGTAGACAACTAAAACTTGCCCGACCTCTCAGGATCAAAAAAGCATATCGAAAAAAAGCTCTTGTATTGCACCCAGATCGAAATTATGGGAATGTTGACGAGGCTACCAAGCTGTTTGCTGAAATCCAATCCGCCTATGAAGTACTCGCAGATCCCCAGGAACGAGCATGGTACGACTCCCATAGCGATGCATTCTTAGGGACAAACGGAAATACCGATGATCAGCACTCGTATAATGTTCGAATCACAACAGCCGAAGATGTCCTCAAACTCTTTTCGAAGTTCAGTCCTCGAATGGAGTTCTCTGACTCTCCAACCGGATTTTTTGGTGGTTTACGTGAGCAATTCGAACAGCTCGCACTAGAAGAAAGATTAGCCTGTCAGTGGGAGGATCAAGATCCCATTGAATATCCATCATTCGGGTCTAGTAATGATGATTTTGAGAACGTTGTACGGCCCTTCTATGCTGCGTGGACTGGGTTCTCCACCCAAAAGAAGTTCGCATGGAAAGATGCTCATCGTTATTCTGAGGCGCCTGATCGTCGGGTGCGACGAATGATGGAAAAGGAGAACAAACGTCTCCGGGAGGAAGGCATCCGAGAATTCAACGATGCTGTCAGGTCCCTCGTGGCTTTTGTCAAAAAGCGTGACCCACGGTATAAAGCCAATGCCCCGAGTGAGGCACAACGCCAGGAAACTCTCCGCCAGTCTGTGGCTGCACAAGCTGCAAGATCGCGAGCTGTGAATCAAGCCAAGATGCGGGATCATGTACTCCCCGAGTGGGCCCAATCAGAAGAACCAGTGGCAGCCGACGAGGATGAGAGCGAAGAGAGCGAAGTCGAGAGTTTTGAATGTGTTGTATGCCACAAATATTTCAAAAGCCAGAAACAATTTGAGGCACACGAACGTAGCAAAAAGCATTTGAAGGCAGTCAAACAGCTATGCTGGGAGATGCGAATGCAGAACGACGAATTGGATTTGGAGTCCGCTGATGACTCGAGTACCAATGCAACTACAACTAACCCTCTTGAGGTTGATGACGGGGAGGATGAGGTCTATGCTACTTCACAGGACGATGTGCGATTAGATGTCTTGAAGAGCCACGACACTGATGCTGAGGATCAAGGAAGTTCGCATGACCTTGAAGAAACAACCAAGCTCTCCGAGCCAAACTCCCCAACTACTTCGCACAATGACGATGACGATTATGCCTCCAGGGAATATGTCGAGACGAGGCTCCGCACCGAGTTGAATTCTTTATCTATGGGCGCCGGATACTCTGGTATACCTGCTCACCCGTCTTCGGACCTCGCCGAGCAGTCACCAACTCTCAAAATGGGCAAAGCCAAGCAGAAACGGGCGAAAAAGGCCGCGAAGCAAGCGGATCAACCAGGGTTTATATGTGCAAACTGCCAGGCCCCATTCACGTCCAAGTCTAAATTATTCAATCATATTAGAGACCTTGGCCACGCACAACCCGTAACGGGGTCTGTTGCTAGGAAGGGGAGGAAACACTAGAAATACATCCACGAGGCCCATTTACCGTTCGGAAAAATCAAAAGATGAAAAGATATATCAGGTCCATCAAGTCTTACATTTTTATCTTCAGTTTAACAAGGCATATGCCGAGTGGGAAATATTCCCCTTCTTAACATAAACCCAAACATCTAACCTAACCCAGCCCGCGAGTTCTTCACGACCTGCGCGACAGGCTGCAGAATTCCCTTGTTGTCGGCGGCACCCAGAGCAGTACCGGTACTCCATCCCATCTTCTCCAGCATAGCCCGCCCTCGGTTTTCAGCTCCGATTTCAGGAGCTGAGGCACCAACCACATCGCCATCCATATATGAAGCTGCACCGGACTTTCCACGCCTGGGTTGGGAGAATTTCTGCACCTCCGTACCCCATGATTTGAACAACCGACGGTTGAACTTCCTCCCGGATAAGAGCTCATCAACGTTAGATATAGTCTTGGACGTGTATCGCGGAGTGCGCGTGGTCTTATTGAGAACCGGGAAGCGAGAAAGCCCATGGCCGCGTGACTGTGATTTCAGATTCAGCGCATTGGCCAATTCATGTATCAGCTTTCTGCGTTGCTTGGTCATGGGCGGCAAGGACAAGCTGCATGAGTTAGCTGTGTCGATGAGAATGAGCAGATAAATAACGAACCTATTTTTAGCGGACATGAGGAATGAGCGAAGCTCAGTCATAAATTCCTCCATGTTCATTTCCTTGGGGTACTTGACCTTGAGGTCCGGATTGCCTGCTTTTCTGCCCAGTAGTCCTTGCGCCCGGAGCTCTTCCCGCTCCATCTTTCGCAGTCTCTTTTTGGTTCGGTCGTTCTGCCAAGCCTCCTGTAGCTCGATCTCGAATTCACTATCGGATAGTACTGGGTCGGGAACGGACTTCTTGCCCTTGGATTTTTTCCGTAGACTTGGCCGGTCAAAGTCCATTATATCAAACCCGAAATATGGGTCAGACTCAAGGGCATCCGCAAGTGCCGATGCCGATGGAAATCCATGACGGGAACCTTTCTTGGTATATTGAGAATATCCGTTCGCCAGGTGGTCGAGCAGCACGAAATCTTCAAGGTTGTCGTCATCTGATCCTGAGACCACCATGTCGCCCTCGTCATCTTCGCTTGATGTTGAAAGTGATTCATGTCCGGTGTCAATTTGCATTTGAGCTAGTGATCTTGGTGATTCGATTTTGGAGCCTGTGGGGCTCAAAGGCGAAAGATCTAGTTGACTTGCGGCTTTTTCAACGTCAATGCCACCTTCTAGGTCAACCTTTGCACCGGATGTCACTTCCTCGTGGTAGTCATTGTCGATGTTGGCGATATAGTCGGCTAGTGGGTCGGTCTCCTCTAATAGTGGCCAATCTGGTCTCTCTAGGTCGGATTCGGGGTGGCCTGTGGGGGTAGCGGCTGGCGAAGGGTCCCGGAGCGCAGAGTCTAACGTTGTGTGTGGTTTCTGCATGGATGCAGCAGTGGTTGTCTGTACGATTTCTTGAATCTCGTTCTGATTGGTTTCAATGAGAATGGGTTTTGTATTCCTCCTGCCGGTGAACACAACTTCGTCTTCACTCGAGTCATCTATATCTGATAATTTCGATCGCAGTACTGGGTCCGGGTGTTCGGTGTGAATAGCTCCTTGTCCCTTTGAATCGAAGAAGAATGGAAGCTCAATATCGGCCTTTTTGTCCGGTATATGGTCGGTTTTTGGTTCCTCCCGATCCGTGTCCAATTTTGTTTGATCCTTGTCTGGTTCTAGAGTTGGTTCCAAGCTCCCTGCGCTCACAAATTGAACCGCTTTGTGACGAAGGCTGCTGCCTGCCCATGATCGCTGATGGGTTTCGGTATTCCGAGCTTCTTGCTGCATAGTAAACTGGTGTAGGGACGGGTCTTTTTTTTTATATGTGTTAGTCTTCATCTCGGAATAATAAGAGCACATTAATTACCTCTGCCCGAGGGGGCCCTGTTACGGGCCTTGAATTTTCCATGGCGGGCCATGGGTGAATCTGATATGTTGATGGGAAAAAAGAAGTGAACTGGGGGGCAATTTGCCTTTGGGTCAGGTCAGGGCGGTGACGGACATTCTATAAAAGGTAACAAATATAATATACATACTCTTTGTTGTTGTTGTTGTTTTTCTTTTTTTAAAAAAATTTCAGATTCAGACTTTATGGATGAAAGATATGAAAGATATCAATGTAGTTTTTAATAGTATTTAGTGTAGACTCATTAAGTGGCACATTCTAGTCGGTGACGTCTTGGCTCGTGACTGAAAGTCTTCCCCCTCATCGAATATTCGACTTGACTAGAGCTTTGTTATTCAAATCTCCATTCCTTTTGTTTGGGGTTTTCCTCTTGTCTTTTTATTGTCTGGTTTGATTACTTGTTTCTAAATCACCCGAGTTGATTTTGTTGGGTTTTTAGGGTTGGATGGATATATATATGTTGATGCAACATATATATCTCTCTAATCAACCCCAACCGTGAATCATTCACACCCAGCAGATCAACAGCAGGAAACCAGAACCAGTCATGACCGTCGACATGGAAAAGTGCAAACGCATAGTACAATACTTCTGGGACCCAGAACCCAGAAATGATGTACCCGCGGCATCGATATCGTGTCTGGGCAGGGAGTATGCCCCCCCGCAACCACCCAGTGACCAGGCCAGTGAGTTTTCCTCGAGTGAACACATAGCTCCAATATTTCACGCCTAACATTACATACAGTCAATAGCCCACACAGCCCGCCAAGACAGTTGGATGATAGCACATTGAATAACACAGCATGGCCAAAGGCATTTATCTCCGATTTTGGATCGAGGATCTGGATCACATACCGATCAAATTTCATACCGATTCCACGAACAATGACACCAGAAGCAACATCCTCAATGACTCTTGGGGTACGTCTGAGAAGTCAGCTGATGGACCCCCAGGGCTTTACATCAGATACTGGGTGGGGCTGCATGATTAGATCTGGACAAAGCCTTTTGGCAAATACATTTTCAGTTCTATTACTAGGACGAGGTGAGAGATGCATCCAACCCAAGGCTGAAAACACTACAAAAGAAGGCAAAACAAAAATAAAACCCAAAAACCCACAGCTAATCATATATACTAGACTGGCGCCGAGGGGAGAAAGTGGAGGAAGAGTCGAAGCTAATATCAATGTTCGCCGATCACCCGGATGCTCCTTTCTCCATCCATCGATTTGTCAATCGTGGCGCAGAATCATGTGGGAAATACCCAGGCGAATGGTTCGGACCTTCAGCAACCGCTAAATGTATCCAGTGTGTGCCACCAAAACCCAAGTCACAGAGCGATACTGATTATAACAGGCTACTTTCAACCGAAAGCGAGACCCCCCAACTTAGGGTCTATGTAACTAATGACACCTCGGATGTTTATGAAGACAAATTTGCACACGTGGCCCACGACAGATCAGGTCGAATTCAACCAACACTCATCTTGATTGGGACTAGGTTGGGGATCGACAATGTCACCCCAGCGTACTGGGACGGGCTACGAGCTGCGCTAACGTATCCTCAATCCGTTGGCATTGCAGGGTAGGTCCAGGTATCTGTTTAACATGATGAGCTCGCTAATTAAAACAGCGGACGCCCATCGGCATCGCATTACTTCGTGGGGGCTCAAGACTGCCACCTCTTTTTCCTTGATCCGCATACCACCCGACCTGCAACATCATACCGACCGAATGGGCTTTACACCCAAGAGGAACTCGATAGCTACTATACCTGCCGACTGCGGAGAATCCATATCAAGGATATGGATCCCAGCATGCTCGTTGGATTTCTCATCAAGGATGAAGATGATTGGGCTGACTGGAAAGAACGAATTCAATCCACGCCTGGACAGCCCATTGTGCACATCTTCCCTAGCCAGCATCAGTCAGATCATGGTCATGGCCGGGCAGAGGCTCTGGATGAAGTTGAGGTGCTGGACGATTCAGACGAGACGGAGATATAGACTAGGAGATGTCGGTGGTATTTCTAGCTTGCACGTTGGGGATTTTTTTTTTAAAGAAAAACCAGGAAAGAGAAATAGAATCATGATGCAATGCAATCAAGCATTTGGAATTTCGCGTTCTAGTAGGGGAGGCCAATCCATGCCTGCCCCAGACCCGAGTTATGTTACACCGCATTCACGTATCGAGTGGTAACCATTCAAAAAAAAATCACCCATCGGGAAAAGAAAATTCAAGCCATCCCATGACGCATTAGAAACCCGCAAAACACCCATAACCGACCACCTCAGAGCCCATAACAGATCAAGAGGCAGTAAAAACAAAAGCAAGCTGGAAAGAAAACGTAAAGAAGCCACTTATTTGGCGGAAGAAGAGTACTTGGTCACAGCCTTGGTGCCCTCAGAGACGGCATGCTTGGCCAGCTCACCGGGGAGGATGAGACGCACAGAAGTCTGGATCTCCCGGGAGGAGATAGTGGACTTCTTGTTGTAAGCAGCCAGCTTGGAGGCCTCGGTAGCGACGCGCTCGAAGATGTCTGGAAATGAAAGTCAGAATACATGACGTGATAAACGCGTAAACGCGTGGTTTTGCGAAAAAGAAAAGAAAAGAAAAACATACCGTTGACGAAGGAGTTCAGGATGGACATGGCACGAGTAGAGATACCGGTGTCGGGGTGGACCTGCTTGAGGACTGGAAATAAAGTCAGTATGGACGCGTTTCCCCTTCTCATGGTTTATGTTGCGTTCAGGAATCAACTCACCCTTGTAGATGTAAGAAGAGTAAGTCTCCTTGCGAGTCTTTCCGCGCTTCTTCTTCTCGCCAGTGGCAGCGGTGGCAGTCTTCTTGCCAGCCTCCTTCTTCTCAGCAGGGGCCTTGCCGCCAACGGGGGCCTTGCCACCGGTGGAGGGCTTCTTCTCAGCGGCCTTTGGGGGCATTTTGAATGTGATTTAGAAAGTTGAGGGGAAGAAAAAGAGTTGAAGTTTAAAGAGTAAAGATGGATGAAGCGTGCGGGTGGGAAATAGAGATGGAATGTGGAAGGGGAAGTTAGAGAGACGCGGTGACGAGGGGAGAGACCGTCTTTATACTCGTGTTCCAAAGGGCAGTTGATCCTGGAGGGGGTGAAAAGGAGGCAGAATTTCAATACAGTAACAACTTGGTATGATCTGTATGATTAAACTGACATTGACGCGTCTTAAGGTGAGAAAGGTGGGGTAGAACTACGCTCAGCTGACTGTTTGGTATAGTAATGGATTTAAATTACAAGACTATTCCCGAAGCGGAATGCCTGATCTGATTGATCATTGGCTGCAACATCTAAGCGAGACCGTGATCTGGAGGACCATTGATGCTGCCCCAACGTCACCCTCACCGCGTCCTTATAAAGGTCATCTGCTTCCACACGCTCTCCCACCTGCTCTTGCGACTTTACACCATAACTTCAGCTCTCAATCTTCAAACTTCTCTTTTATTTCACTAAAACTTCCCCCATTTCCCCTCCCCTCCATCAAAAATCTATCAAAATGACTGGCGGAAAGTCCGGCGGCAAGGCTAGCGGTAGCAAGAACGCGCAGTCGTAAGTTGTTTACATTTCGCGTCTTTTATAATGTATACATTTCATACTGACATCAATATCTTCAGCCGTTCCTCCAAGGCTGGTTTGGCCTTCCCCGTTGGCCGTGTCCACCGTCTGCTCCGCAAGGGCAACTACGCTCAGCGTGTCGGTGCCGGTGCACCTGTTTACCTCGCTGCCGTCCTTGAGTACCTCGCTGCCGAGATTCTCGAGTTGGCTGGAAACGCCGCTCGCGACAACAAGAAGACCCGTATCATTCCCCGTCACCTCCAGCTTGCCATCCGCAACGATGAGGAGCTGAACAAGCTCCTGGGTCACGTCACCATTGCCCAGGGTGGTGTTCTCCCCAACATTCACCAGAGTACGTTTACAACCCCATCGACCCTCTATCTCTGCATGTACTAACATGGATCCCCAGACCTTCTTCCCAAGAAGACTCCCAAGGCCGGCAAGGGCAGCCAGGAGCTGTAAGGGTTCTATCTTTTTTCGCGGGTTGTTTGTTTTCTTTTCCGGCGCGGATTGGTTCTTTGACACGATAATGGGGTTATGGGACGGGCACGTTATGGCTCTGCGTTTTCTCTTTTTTTTCCATCAATTTCCTGGTTGTACATTATGTCTACGGACATGGAATGATACCGACGACCTTAACTTGCTTGAGGGATTTCAACTTTCGGATACTAGCTCTGGGCATGAGCCCAAATCAATGAAAACTCCAGGTCTTTCAAGTGTTAAAAATCTACCGGATTGCCTTTCGTACTTCACGTATGCATTGTACATATATATATATATATATATATATATATGGTATTATTGATGTGGCTTATGTATTGTACATGAACGAAATTGTAGATTTTTGATTCTACCTTTTGGGTACTCTACATCTGTGGGGAAAGGCGCATACTTCATGTTGCATATTTCATGGTTGTAATTGGTCCAATCCTCATATTGTGTTTTGCGATATTGATTTGACTTAGTGTGCACCAGGGGGTTGAGCATCTGTATTGTTTGATGGTCAGTGGAAAGTCGAGGTTGGATATATGAGGATGTGAGCATACATGGCAGAATTCGGGCCGGTAGGTTACGCTCCCATTTGTTGCCGCCGGGCGCAGTAGGTGCCCGGTATGGGTCAGGGTGCTTCCAGGTCTCCAAGAGCTTCTCTGTCTCGCGCAGTAAAACCTGTAGCATGTGTTAGGTTTATCGAACATGGATTTTAGTTTCGCATACCTGTTGCTGGCGAGGATCGCGAACGTCCCTGTTGGCTTCGAAAAGGGATCGGATATAAACTGCTTGTCCGCGCCAGACCTGTCGGTGGACGGCCCAGTCAAGGGACAGTTTCAGGGAGCGCCGGTAGAGCGACCTGCAATATATCAGTGAACAGTCCCCCTAGGGGAACACTACACTACTCACTTAACAGCGTAGGTGGACATTGTGCTCAAGTTTTGTCCCGGGTCCAATTCCGGCCAGATAAAAGAGGAAAAGAAAATCAGAGAAAGAAAACGTGTTTAATACACAGGTCTGTCAAACAGAAATGACAACCTCTGGAGATTGTTAGGGTTCCTGGTGGACAATGATTTGGGGTTGAGGGTTTCAATGTCGTCAGGTTGACTATTCTGGGCTTCCTAATTCGTTCGGCATAAAATTGCTCAAATGGTCATAACGACGTTCCGTAGCGAAATCTGCTTAAATGGTCTCTCCAACTTGCCGTAGTGTAAGAAGAATAGTCCGCCTCTGCCGGAAAGGTGCCCGGTTTACCTTAGGACCCGATCCAATCCGAGCTTGATCTTTCTTTGCTTCCTCTAATTTTTAGAGTTGGAAGCTTTTTCTCTTATCTATTTGTTTCGGCTTTTTCTCAGCTGAATAAATTTTGCTTTAATTCATCATGGCTTCTCGAATCTCTATTGCGCGCCTGTCGGGCCAGCGCTTCTCGGCTGTGGCCAGGACCACTCCTCGGGCATCAAGCCAGTTCCGCAATGTCAAGGGATTGTCTACCCTCACGCGGAAGACTTCGGCTCGTTCAGCTTCAGGCTTGTTGCAGGTCTCTTCTTCCGGGTAAGTATCTATGTCATTACCATCCGTCGCAATTTTGGCTCATACAACTAGCATCAATGTCTCGCGACTCAACCTTGCTCCTCTGGGAGGTCACCAACTCCGTACCTATGGTAAATGCTTTTCAAAAGCAGTCTTGTTAGTCAATTACTAATATTGCTTAGCCGACTCCATCATTAAGGTCCCCAGCATGGCTGAGTCGATCACAGAGGGTACCCTCAAGCAGTTCTCAAAACGTATGGTGCTTTAGCCGTGGTTGAACATTTGAACATTTACTCATTCTGGTATAGAGGTTGGCGATTTCGTCGAGCGTGACGAGGAAATTGCGACAATCGAAACAGACAAGGTAAATACCAGTTTTGTCCCGTTTTGCCCCCACCCTTTAGTACTGTTGACTAACATAAGTTTTCTGTTAGATTGACGTTTCGGTGAATGCCTCGGAGTCTGGTACCATCAAGGAGTTCCTCGTGAACGAGGAAGATACCGTTACTGTCGGCCAGGATCTCGTCAGGATCGAGCTTGGCGCCGCTCCCGAAGGCGGAAAGAAGGACGAGGGTGCTGAGAAGCCCAAGGAGCCCGAACCCAAGGAGCCCGAGCCTAAGAAGGATGCTTCGCCCGCCCCCGCCGAGACCCAGAAGCCCAAAGAGCCTGAACCTAAGAAGGCTGCGCCCCCTAAGGAGGCTCCTAAGACGGAGTCCAAGCCTCAAGCCGCTGAACAGCCAGCTCTTGGTGGCCGCGAGGAACGCCGGGTATGTTGACGGCTAATACCTCTTTGTACTTGACTTTAAATCTAATCTTGATCTAGGTCAAAATGAACCGTATGCGTCTGCGTATTGCAGAGCGCCTGAAGCAGTCCCAGAACACCGCCGCATCTCTTACAACGTTCAACGAGGTCGACATGTCTTCGCTGATGGAGTTCCGGAAACTGTACAAGGATGATGTCCTCAAGAAGACCGGTGTGAAGCTTGGTTTCATGAGCGCCTTCTCCCGTGCTTGTGTGCTTGCCATGAAGGATATCCCTGCTGTCAACGCTTCCATTGAGGGCCCTAACGGTGGTGATACCATTGTCTACCGCGACTACGTTGACATCAGCGTTGCAGTCGCCACGGAGAAGGGACTTGTGACTCCTGTTGTTCGTAACACCGAAGGCAAAGATCTGGTTGGAATCGAGAAGGCCATTGCCGATCTCGGAAAGAAGGTGAGCAGTTTTTTTTTTTTCTTTTTCTGAGGGGATATTCAGTTTACTGACCTATAATAGGCTCGTGACAACAAGTTGACTATTGAAGACATGGCCGGTGGTACTTTCACTATCAGCAACGTACGTTTCCTATCTTTGTGTTTCAAGAATAACACGGCTAACTTAAAACTCAGGGTGGTGTCTTTGGCTCGCTGATGGGCACACCAATCATCAACGTTCCTCAAACAGGTCAGTTCTCACATATTATTTGCGAGGGGCTTTAAATCTAATTTTGTTTAGCTGTCTTGGGTCTCCACGCCATTAAGGACAAGCCTGTCGCTGTGAACGGCAAGGTTGAAATCCGTCCCGTACGTACAGGCAATCTAATAACTTTTTTCTTCGGTTTACTGATATTTCTAGATGATGTATCTGGCTCTCACCTATGATCACCGTCTCTTGGATGGTCGCGAAGCTGTTACTTTCCTTGTCAAGGTATGTCTATCTTCTCGTCCGCCTGAATCATACACTAATCCCATTCGCAGGTCAAGGAATACATTGAGGACCCCCGGCGCATGCTGCTTGGTTAAGTGACATGAGTGTTTTGCCACGCGCCTTTTATCTGTGTTCTCGTACCTAGAGCGGCCTTGCGCCCTTTGTAAATTATTATGTTCCAAGATATGTTCCAAGATATAAATGCCATGTCAAGGACAGGTCTTGTGGACTTTCCCATTATCCTATATGTTGCTTTTAATCTTTATATCAGCTGAAAATAGATTAAGATTGAATCAATGTGGTATTGCGTTTCATGACAACTCCATGGACCTGGGCCCTCACGCGCTCGGCTTAGCATCACACATAGGAGCAGATAGCAGGACATTCTCTTGGTTGGGGGGGGTTGAGTACTATTACGATCCACAATACTCTAGGATCTGTCGTGTCTCCTCCCGGGTCAAACCTTCCAGCTGACCATACTCCAGCTGAAGAAGAAGGGGCACATCTAGGATATCCATGAAGTCTTCGAAAAAATCAACAAAACGATCCTGTAGGGCTTCGGGTGGAAATGTTTTATCAAGCTCCTCTCGGCTCATTGAATCCGCGGTACCAAATGGGGGTGGTACATGCTCCAGGAACATAATACGGCTGACCTCCCACCATATATCGAGTTCACCGTCGTTGGTTCTCCAGTTGCAGAGTCTCTGGAGCTGGTCTGGAAAGTGTTCTTGTTCTTCTAGCATTGCATGGACCATGAAGTGGGCGCCAAGGTCGAACCAACGTCTCCGGGATACGATTTCAACTGTGGAGTGACAGAGGTCCATGAACTGAACTGCGATGTCAGAGAGGGGCACAAAGTGAACGAGGTCACGATCTTTAGGAGGGTCCCAGTGGAGAAATAGATTGGACAGGTAGAAGATGCGCAATTTAAGATCCAGGTCCCAGGGCAGGGGGCCTTCAAGGTGATGACCAAGAACCAACCGGTGTAATTCTTGAGCTGTAAGTCAGTATGAATAATCCTTTACTTAGGGAGTTCTAGTGCTTACGTTCAACAGAAATTGCAAACCATTCAATGTCCTCATTTGGTCCATTCTGGATCGCTTCTAGGATCCTGCTAACACATAGACAGACCATGTAGTCGAGGATCAACAGATCCACAGTGACTCGAGTGGCAGGATTTTGATCCATTTTGATGTCAACGAGGGGAAGGAATATCAGATGAAAGGTATGTGAGTGAACTTGGATAGTTCCATGATGCCCTTGGTAATACAGTTGTTTCCCACGACGATTGTGTTTATGCGCTTAATCGGCGATGATTAGTCGGCGATGTGCAGGGACCGGGGACAATATCCACGGGTGTTTTGATATTGATTCACGTGACTTTTCATTACATTCGCTTTGGAATTAAACTGCTGTTGTTGTTGTTTTTTTTTTTTTTTTTTCTTTCTTTATAATATAATATAGAAATAATTATAATTAATTAAGGGATAGTTAGATATTGATATAGACTAACTAGAAGGTATAGATATGTATAGAAGTAGGACTTAGGTGTGAATGCGGATATCATGGCGTCATTTATATAATCACAAATATGTAAGTTACATACTATGTAATTTGAACTCTTTTTCCTTTCCAACAACTCCCATGTTCAATCTCATCAAATCAAACCTCAATAAACGGGCTATGACAATGGCGTGGTATTGCTCTGGATCTACCAACACTGAGTTGATTGAGAACTTATTTAAGGCTGGACTAATCCAGAACGAGCGTGTGAAAGATGCCATGATCGGAGTGAGTATAATATGAATATATCTAAGAAATGTCCTAATATGACCAAAAGGTTGATCGAGCACATTATGCTCCATCACGGGCATATTCAGATTCACCTCAGCCCATTGGATATGGAGCCACCATATCAGCACCTCATATGCATGGTCATGCATGTGAGTATCTGATTAATTATCTCAAACCAGGTGCTCGAGTGTTGGATATTGGATCGGGTTCAGGATATTTGACACATGTTCTTGCCAATCTCGTGACCGATTCCAACACTCAAGGACAGGTAATTGGCATTGACCATATCTCCGAGTTGACAGACTTGGCTCGCACCAATATGAACAAGTCCAAGAAAGGTAGTGAACTCCAAGCTTCTACAACTGTCAAGTTTATCACCGGTGATGGACGTCTTGGATGGAAAGAAGGTGCACCCTACGACGCCATCCATGTTGGTGCTGCGGCCGATCAACTTCACCCGACTCTGGTGGACCAACTGCGTGCTCCTGGAAGACTTTTTATTCCAGTGGAATCAGAAGATGAGAGTGAAAATCTCAACGGTGGCCAGTATATCTGGGTGGTGGATAAAAGGGAAGATGGATCTATCCACAAAGAGAAGGTCTTCCAAGTGAGCTATGTGCCCTTGACAGATGCTCCACGAGGATGAGATACTTCATTTTGTTCTATGTCTCTTTTACCTCAATTCAATTCAATTCAATCCAATCCAATTCAATTAAAAAAAAGGAATGAGTTCATATGTCTAAATTTATTCCTCATTGAATTCCCAAATACATCGACTCCATCGACTCCCAACACCTGGTATGTTCCACATTCTAGCGGAATCCACCAGGAAATTTGAAATTCCCTTGGAATTGTGGACCACCCTGTTGGAAGAAGAATTGTTGACCACCGAATGGGCTGCCTTGGAATGGATTGCCCCGTTGCTGCGATTCAGGATCATTGGGATCATCGCCATTATCAAACCGTGTCCGGAGCTCGGAGTCAGATAGAACCTCGTAGGCTTCATTGATGGCCGCCATCTTCTTCTCTGCGTCTTCCTTACTTACACCCTGGGAGTGGGCCTTATCAGGGTGATGTTGCTTCACTAGCTGGCGATACGCGCGCTTAATCGTCCGATCATCTGCATCACGACTAATACCCAGAACCTTGTAGTAATCTTTCTGCTTGGAACGCTTCAGTAGGGTCTGAGCCTTTTGGTGGAGGGTTTGCGCCTCCTGAGAACTGGGATGGTGTTCTTTGACCGATTCGAGCGTACGTATGGCATCTTCAAATCGATCCTCATCCAGAGCGGTTTGAGCCTGATACAGGAGACCGGCAAGCGAGTGAGGGACGAGCTGGAGAGCTTCGGCGCAATAAGGACCAGCCTTTTTAATCATGCGCATCTATGTATGTCAGTGACAGAAACCAAATCCTGCGATGTGGGTACTCACTTCACGGTAAGCCTCGCAGGTTTTCTCGACTAGGAACGTGTAAAGATTATTGGGTGCCAGGCGATGAATATGTTTAGCCTGCCGTGCTTCTTCAACATCGCCCTTAATGTCTGCAATCAGCCCATTGGATTCGCTATCGCCGACCATGAGATTTGCTGCATTGCTGAATTTGCGTGCGCCTAGGGCAGTATGCAATTTTTCTAGCTGCTTGGCAAGCTTCCGCTCACGTCGATAGAGACGGTTGCACGGTTTTGAGTCGGGGTCAGCATGCAGACATTTACGGATTTGAGCAAGGCCACGGTCACTGTCCCCTAGAGAGTAGAATAGCATAGACGACATTTGTAGGTGAGGCTCGACCAAGTTCGGGGACATTTGCAAGACATGTGCCAAATCACTGAGCCCTTCTTCCGTTTCGCCCTTTTCGAAGTGACAATGAGCTCGAGCCTGCCGTAGAGGCAGTGCTGTATTTGCCTTTAAGATGGCCACATTTGCCTCCGAGACACACGTCTCCCAGTCGCCCTGCTTTTCAGCATTGAGAGCCAAAGTGGCCGCATCGCGTGCAGCTTCTAATTCCTTGTAGTCATCCGTCGACTTCTTCCCGGCCCGCTCGAGATCCTCCAAGGCCTCCTGCCAATGCGCAGAGCGTGCCTTTAAGCGAGATCGTTGTAAAAGAGCGCCCTCGAAGTCTGGCTTGAGTTCTAGAACTCGATCAAAGTCACTCGAGGCTTGTGAGTTTTTACCGATAGACAGATAAGCCGCGCCCCGCTGGAAGATAGTGATATAGTTGGTTGGATCGCGCGAGACGGCGGCGTCGAAGTATACCACGGCATCTCGGGGTGAGCCTTGCGCGAGGTGGGCTTTGGCAGAAGATATCAATTCAGATAGAGGTGTGTCTGAGGGAATTTCAAGGGCATATCCAGCTGAGAAACAAGCCAGAAAGGCCGTGAGTGATTCCAAGGAAACAAGCATTTTGGTTATGCGCAATACAGTAATGTAGTAAAGGTGTAAATGAGTACAGTATTAATCTCCCTAGGAGTGTAAGAGGAAGGGCATAATCCAAAAAGAAAACCCTTTAGAATAGAAAAGTAGAAAAGTGTTAAGAGCAAAGAACAAACAAGTGGAAGTCGAAAGTTGAGAGTATACTCCGTGGCCTTTACATTGTTTTACCGTCATGTGACATGGAATTGTCAATCGCCTTCACTCCCAAAATTTTGGTCCTTAACTGACAAGTATGCTCGTCAAGTCAATATGTCGTATCTTGCCTAGAGGTTTGAAATTGTCGCGAGGTATACATACTGGTAAGACCCCATCTTTGATTACATTCTGATCAATTGCTAAATTTACGAAGTATCCGATTCTGCCTTATCCCCAGCTCTTTTAACCAGAGCCCGCCTACTTGCAGCTGAACATACAAAGCTTTCAGAACGTCTGGGAGAGTCCTTTGACGCAAAAACTGCCAAGCGAGCTGGGGAATTGGCACCGATAGCAAATATCTTGAAAGAATGGGTCAATGTCAATGATGTATGCGCGCCTCGGAGTCTTTGTATCGAAGCCCTACTAATTCGGCGTAGTCTATTGTCGAGCTCAAATCCTTATTAACGGATCCAAGTACCGATGCCGAACTACGGTCTTTGGCAACGGAAGACCTTGAAAGTAGTCGCGATGCCTTGCCAACAATATCAGATCGATTGAAGAAGGCTCTCATTCCACGACATCCATTTGCAGACCTTCCTTGTTTGCTCGAAATCCGACCCGGTGCAGGTGGAGATGAAGCAGGCTTGTTCGCCTTTGAGATGTTACGGATGTATGTTGCCTTTTGCTCCCGAAGGGGCCTTCGCCCAACAGTTTTGAAGCAGGACACAGAGGTCGGACCGTCCGATGACCGTCTTAGTGAAGCGGTCATTGAAATTGAAGCCAATGGTGCATATGATATATTACGGACTGAATCGGGAGTACATAGGGTGCAGAGAGTACCTGCAACCGAGACCAAGGGTCGCACCCATACCAGCGCCGTCAGCGTAATGGTCTTGCCGAGTTTCCCAGAGGACGGCAGTGAGGTGGATAACGCCCTGAATTTTGAAGATCCAAACAGCGATTACTACATTGACCCGCAAGAGGTGCGGGTTGAAAAGATGAGGGCTGGAGGTGCTGGTGGACAACACGTCAACAAAACCGAATCCGCCATTCGATTGACTCATATCCCCACGCATACCGTCGTCTCCATGCAAGATGAACGGTCCCAGCAGGCCAATCGGAGAAAGGCGTGGCAGATGCTACGGGCAAAGTTGGCCGAAGCCCGGCAAGAAGCCCGTGAACAAGAACTTATGCAGCTCAGACGAGGTATACTGGGTGGTGTGGCTAAAATGGGTCGAGGTGATAAAATTCGAACCTACAATTTTGGTCAAAGTCGCTGCACCGACCATCGCACAGGCATCACAATCCACAATCTGGATAGTATTCTTGATGGTGGTGATGGTTTGGAGACTGTGATGGAAAGTGTGCGGACCTGGATGGCTGATAGTGAAGTTGAGGCTATGGTGGCCGAGGATATGGCAAAAGCAAAGAGTAAATAGCAGATTATTTTGTACAAAGATACCATGTATTCTATTAAAGGCCAAATCTATTCTACAAATACTTTCGCTCCGGATCCAACAGGTCCAGTCCATCCATAGCCTTTTCATACCTATCCAACTGTTAGCAACTTTCATATAACTTGGGTTGATCACAAACATGGTGAACACAATTCCTCCACTCATAATCAATCTCGCAAGTCGTGGCATGGCGCCAGACCACAAAGTGAAGACACCTTCATCCTTGACAATTCTTGTTGCGCAAATGATGCTGTTCTTGTAATGCTTGCTGGCCTCGAGTGATTGCATTCTGATATAGTTAGTACCTCATATATAATAATATTAGTGTCGTGGGCGTATTAACCTTGTCTTGACCGTGTCTAAAGGTTGGGTCACATAACTGATTCATGTTAGTTTCTTTCCATCGTCTTCAGAGATCTAAGTCTTACACAGTGATGAGACCTGCGATTCCACCAATTCCAAAGGTAGCCGCAGTGCCCAACTTTTCGCCTGGCGCCGTGTAGCCCTCTGCAAACTGCTTCAATGTTGTGTAGGCTGTGAATCGGGTCGCCGAGTTGGCAGCCTGTCTTGCCGTAGTGGGCACAAAGCCTTGGAAGAAGCCCTTAACACCTCTTTCCTTAAAAATAAGCTTGCTACCGTGCAAGAAGCCACGCATCCGAGGGTTGGCAGACTTCCGATCGTCGATCCTATAGTTTGATTAGTAGAGCCAGCCAGTAAGAGGACGGGAAACTTACAATTGGGTCTTGATGCTTTCAAAGGGGGTGACGGCGAAAAGAGACTCGGTGAATCCAGCACCGAACCCAGCAACGACCGTCCTTGGTCCCGAGATCTTGCCGTTCTCATCCTGGAGAACCGATTTAATGGCATCGAATGCGACAAATCCTAGTAGGTATCAACGGTAGTCCAGACAGTCGCGGGAGGTAGACGCACGAATTCCAGCCTTCAGCGAGTTTCCGATAATCAGTGTTGTACATCCTGCATACCACTGGCTCCCGAACGGTGGCCATGGTAGCTTTTGGCCATGGGTAAGTTGGCGATTGAGTTGAGTCCGGGTCTTCGCAACTGTATAGCATTAGCACCAATTGCCGCAAGACATTCAAAAGATCATACATTCGGCCGGGTATGTGATCGCTGTAGTATACGGGTTAGCTAGTAGCCTGGTAGGGGTCATTGAGCTCTTTACCGATCTCCACGGCTCCGGCAGTGGAACCCGCAAGAATGGAGCGAAGGGCACTGGGCTATGTATTGGGTGAGCTTGAAGTAAAATATATAATATTTGACTCGAGAATATACCTTTGCCTTTTGATCCTTATTCACCGTCGCCATTGTTGGGGTTGGAGGAATGGTAGTCGCCGAACGTCGGAGATCCCCATATACGGCCTTCGGCACGTGCCATTACCGTCGTCGAAGATCAGTTCTTATACTTGGGAACTCATATATGAAGGCAACACATTAATCGAATCCTACAAATTATTACAATATAACAAATTGGAGGGATATTGTCAATTCACTAGCTGAATCTACCTAGATCCGTTAATCAACTAGTGCTCCTCCAATTTTTTCCTTCTTTTTTTGGTTTTTTTTTTTAGAGTGGGTGTTGTTCACCGTGTATCTAACAACGGCGATAACACAAAGTGAGTGTAGGCAGGAATATGGTTAAGCATGGTTAGAGTGGGAGAACTCCAGGGTGCCAACAAAAGGTTGGTAAAGGGCGAGATCGTCACTCGTTGCGTAGGGAAAATAAAAAAAAAGAGCCCCCTCAGGAAAAATTCGCATGACACGCTTCTCCTGTGAAACGCCATTTGCATTGCAAATCCTCGAAACACAGAATACAGCTTCGGAAAACAAAGAGCGCAGGCGCCGAAGATGCATTTTCCTCAAGGATCCAACTCATAGGACAAGGGACCGGAACGGAAAAGACATATGATACATTGCACTCCCGTATCATCATGACCGGATAAACAATGCCGAGATAGCCCGGCAAGATCTCGAAGATAGAGCGGAATAGAATAAGAGAATCGAGGAAATCAAAGCGCAGCGATATGGAAAAAAAAGTGTTCACGCATGTCGGTGCTTAAGAGATGGGCGCCTGGGGCTGACCGGGATTTGGTTGACCAAAGGTGATTCGGTTGGCGTCATTTTGTGCCCCACGACGTTGGCCCTGTCCACGGCCACGGTAAGAACCGCGTCCCCGATTATTGTAGTATTGGCCGTGTTGCCCACCATGCTGCTGGCCATGCTGTTGGCCATGAGGTTGCGGTTGGCCATTGTGGTTGTTCCGACGAGGTTGACGATCTCCGTTCATGTTAACGGATCCAGCCCCAGTCTGAGGTGGAGGGTTGGAGATGGGCCGAGGGATGTTTTCGGGAGAATCATAGACATAAAGCTTCTTGTCAATATTCTGAGGGATGGGCTGGATTTCAGTACCCAATTCTTGCTCAATCTTGTATAGGTTGAACCGATCCTCCCAGTTGATGAGGTTAATGGCAAGACCCAAGTGTCCGAAACGACCTGAACGACCGATACGGTGAAGATAGGTTTCCGCGTTCTTAGGGAAATCAAAGTTGATCACAACGTTGACAGCTTGGATATCAATACCGCGAGTCAACAGGTCCGAACAAACCAAGTTGCGGCATACACCATTGCGGAAATCATGGAAGACTCGGTTACGGTGCTGCTGAAGCATCCGAGCATGAGAGTAAAAGCATGAATAGCCGAGTTCGGTGATTTTTTTGGCCAGAAGTTCAACCCGGTTGGTTGAGTTGCAGAAAATGATCGACTGGTTGATTTGAAGCTTGGAGAAAAGAGTGTTCAAGCAATGAACCTTTTGTTTCTCCTCGACGAAAGCATAGTACTGGGTGATACCGCGCAGGGTAAGTTCATCCATAAGGTTGATCTCGTAAGGGTTGCGCATGTGCTTGTCCTTGAATGACTTGACGATCAGAGGGAAAGTGGCACTAAAGAGCATGACCTGGCGATCTTTGGGGTGGAATGACATAAGTTGCTCAATGACAGGAGTAAACTCGGGAGACAGCAATTTGTCTGCTTCATCCATCACAAACGTTGGGCATTCGGACAAGTCGGCGACACCTTTGCTAGCCAAATCCAGTACTCGTCCAGGGGTTCCCACAAGAATGTGAACAGGGTCATTCAACCGGATAATGTCGTCCATCAAACCAGTTCCACCGGTGGTGACCATGACATTAATACCGAGGTGTTTTCCTAGGGTCTTGCAGACTTGTGATGTCTGGAGGGCGAGCTCTCGTGTGGGCACCAGGATCAAGGCCTGGGTCTTTGTACTTTTGGGGTTGATGCGCTCGAGGGTGGGGATAACGAATGCAGCGGTCTTTCCAGTGCCGTTCTTAGCTCGGGCCAAGATGTCTCTGCCTGTGAGGGCAACTGGTATCGTCTCTTCTTGAATAGGGGAGGGCTTTTCAAATCCAGCCTCAAAAATGCCCATCATGAGTTCACGTTTGATATAGAAATCCTCGAACTCGAGGCCTTTTGTGGCAGTAACATCCTATAAAAGTTAGTAATGTCGAGTTGACTGAAACCAACAAAATACCCACCTCAGTTTGTGGGCGAGCATCTTTGGGAGGGAGATTCAATGTGTCCTGCAGTTTTTGCTCTGAGGTTGCTTCCCTGGTCAAGTTAGATTTTGAGGACAAAGAAAAATAATGATTGACTTACAGCTTAGTATTGCTGAGTTGTGCAGCAAGCGCGTCGGCCATTGTGACGATAAGGTGCTAAGGGGATGAAGTGGGAAACAAGTGCGGTGACCGATTTTGTTTGCGATCAAGGGTGTATGTGAGAAGGTGCGGAATTTGAAAGAGAAATATTTTGAGAAAGGTTTGACGGTAATGCGAGGAGAGGAGAGGGATGCTCGTCAAAACCTATAAAGTCAGGTTTGTAGGGGACGGAGAGATCGGGTATTCAATGGAAATGAAGCTTCTGTGTGGAACCAAGAGATATCTCTGCCAAAGCTAAAGAGAGTTCACAGATAGAATAAATAATGGTAGAAACCAGTTTTGTTGACAAAGAGGGAAAAGAGAAAAGTAGAGGTTGAGATTATGATGGCGGGGAGCGAAGAGGTTTGAGGTAAAGTGAAGCTAAACGTTCCACTGGGTATGGTCACGTGCCGACTGATATATTTACTATATTCACTACATACTACATTCGCTATGTTGTAGTTTGAGAATAAATTTCCAACGTGACATAAACATGGCATTTCTTAAGGGTATTTCGCTGCAAATAAGATCAACATTGGAGACTTCAGCGCCGGAAGTTTAGTGTTGCTTGCCCACGTTCTGGCTCTGCCAACTCTTTCACTCTGACATCTGCAGAGATGGTAATATCAGTTTTGCTACCAGGTGTGATCAGAATGAACTGTCGCCCGATAGATCGTCTAGCCGCAACCATCTAGAACAGTTAGTGATGATCATTACGAAGAAGACGTGGCACTTACAAGCATGTCAATCGCCATCTTTCGGTTGATATGGTCCATATACACATCACTTTTTTTTTAAGAAATAGTCAGCAGTCAAAACAATTCAAAGGGCGAGGAAGAACTTACAATTCATCAAGACAACGGATCGGAGATCCCATGGCTTCCCAGAGAGACAACAACAGACAAACTTGTGAGAATGACTTTTCTCCACCGGACAGTGTCTTTGCACCTCTCCCGGTGCTATCATCTTTGGTAATATCAGGTTCAACCTAGACCGTAGTTAGCATCCATTTCCTCAACTTTTGATGAACAAGCTTACTTGTAGATCCAGAAGTTTGTTGGTATGATCAGCCAGAAGGCGGCCACGGAAACTTCTCTCACTCAAGAGATAGGTGAATTGAGCTTTCGCTCTGGAAGAGATGTGAGATCTGAAGATTTCCCATCTCTTCTTACGGTTCTGGAGGGTATCTTTCAAAGCCTGAACAAATATTAGATTAGACCAAAAGAAACCAAAGCAACAAAATGGGGAATTACCTGACTCAAGGCCGAAAATTGTTCAAGTTGCTGCAAGGCTCGATCATAGGTTGCTGCAGTCTTTGTTGCCTCAGCAGCAATTTCCTCTCGAGAACTTCCCAACCTGTTGACTTGTCAGTTATGTAGTAAGATAGGCGGAAAGAGACATACTCTAGGTTATAGCGATCAAGATCGCGGCTTAGTTTATCAAGCTTTTTGTCAAGACTGCCAGGTGTTTCTCCTTCGTCCACAGGAACTCTAGGAGATACCAAGCTGGCCTTTTCATTGTATTCAATAACCCGTGCTTTCACCGCTTCTCTTCTTGCCTCGATTGCAGTCTTGGTCTGTTTATCTTGGTTGATTAGTCTAATAGCTTCGTTCTTCTCGTCGAGGATTTTGGCTTGTTTTGTTTTCACAAGATTTTGCTCGCTTTCCGCAACGTGGAGTTTTTCCCGGAGGGTGTCAAGGTCAGAATTTTTGGTGGATAGTTCACGCCGAATTTCTTTGACAGCCTGGGCGGCGGCTTTCATGGCTGCCTCGCTATCCTTGTACGATCCCTCATTGAGCTGCTTCTCGTCTTCGGCTTCCTTTAGAGCTGCCTGTAGCACATCGATGCGACCATCCTCGGCGTTCTCTTTATCCAAGGCGTCTCTGAGCGCCTCGGCATGATCTTCCAATCGCTGCATTTCAATTTGCAGATCTTTCTCGGTTCTTGCGTGTCGAACCAGTGCCTGTTTGCAGGCCTCGACTCGCGACCGGGCAGTTACCAATGATTGCTCGATGTCATTCTTCTGGCGCTGGAGGTCGGCGATAATGTCACGTTGTGCACTAGAGCCATCAGTCAATGTCATATGTTTCCAGATAGAGGGCTTACTTACTTGATTTGCAAGGCCACGTCGGATTTCATGCGCGGGCCATCGGTCCACCCCATAACCGGAGCCTGACTCGGTTCTCCGGCTCGGCTATACGAGAGATGGAGTCCTCGGCGTCGATCTTTTGGATCAATGGAGTAACAACGCTTAACGTTTCTTGGTCGTGCACCGTCGAATAGTATAGCGGAGGCTTCATTTACGTCCTCGATCAACAGCATTTGCTCAATTCCATGGTTGATGATCAGTTGTCGCCGCACTAATTCGTTGTCGATCTGAAAGGTCAGCACATTCCATAAATCATGGGAAGGATGGGGGTGGCTACCTGAAGTGTCCGTAAGACAGTCTTGTATTGGGAGTCTGGTTCATGTGCTGAGGTATCCAGACGGCCACCAGAGCCAATGAAGATCGGACAGTTGCTGTCAAGTTAGCTTTAGTTTCAACATGAACCTTTGGTGAAACTCACCACTGAACCCGCCGCATGATATCGAAAAGCA